ATTTTTATGGCACCAGAACCAGTCTGAATGTGTATCTGTCTTGCTTTTCCTTGTGTGCGGAGTCTTGACCCGATTCCCTGGTCACTCCTTGCAACACCATTCTCCTCATGGAGGAAAAGGAGTCTACAGGAGGGGTTAACAGGTATCTAACATGACATCTGACATTGACGGATGTGTACTGTGAGAGAGAGGAAGATATGGAGTAGCTACACACATGCCAGATCACCGACACTTTCAGTGGAAAAGAGATAACAAGAAACGCTGGTCAGACAATGCCCTACAAGATACAGAGAGGGGCAGTTAACTCTCCGGTAGATACAGCAAGATGACTGACCATAGCATCGAGATATGCCAGGAACCGTTGGGGTTAAGTATGAACAGGTGCTACGGACAGGGAGATAACCAGAAACTGCGGAGGGATAGCCCTGGTCACAGGTCACAGGTAAAAGACGTGGATGTCAAGAATGACAAGAGTGCCAAGCAAGATAACTGACAAGAGAATGGAGGGAGCTGAGAATCAGAGGATGACGGCATCAAGAATGACAAACTGCCAGGTTTTGATTTAAAAAAACACACACACACACATGGAGTGAGTCCAGGGGCATCAAGCTGGACGATCGCAAAACAAGGACGGTAGTTTGTGAAACATGGAAGTTACTGTATGACCAAAGGTCAAGATTGGTCAGGAGAGACTTGGAAAAGATTAGCAACAGCCAAGAATCTGTTTTAGAAAGGAACAATGATCGTCATAGCAATTTAAACTGTAGTGTTCCTATTTTTGTTTAAATGAGATAATCAACGTATTCAATGGACATTGTGTTTTACAATAAACCAAGATAATTTAATTTGATGTGTTGATCAATCATTGGCCATGTTGTGAAACACAAGAGACATACTAAGACTATCGAATATACTTCGTTCTGTTAAGACGCATCTGACTGAGCATGGGGGGATGCGAAAGGTATAACTGTACCACACTCAGACCATGATGATCGACTTATGTCTGACTTTTCATTCGCTCCCTTACAGATCCTTACAACATCTGGCTTGTCATGCACCAGTTTACCATCAAGTGGTGCAGAACCAGCCACACTATATCTGCCTATTCATTTCCCAACACACTGGCACAATCTGGAGAAAATATCCAAAGGACACTAACTAGTAGTGACCTCTAACCAGAGACTAACTAACCAATCAATTTTTACACATCTCAAACAATGCATACAGATGTAGTTGTTCTTACCTAATTTACAGCTCTCAAACAATTACAACATATTTACAGATCTTAAATATTTTTACAGCTCTCAAACAATTAGAATGTATTTATCTATCCTACTTATTTTTACAGACCTCAAACAACTACAACGTATTTACAGATCTTACCTATTTTTACAGATCTCAAGTACAGCTTCTCAGCTTCATCATATCTGAACACATCATAGTTGAATAGTGAAGCCAGGTGGCCCACAGATAAGGCCACTTCATAGTCGTCAGGGCCTAGCAACCTCTCTTTTATTTCAATAGCCTGCTTGTGCATTTTCTCTGCATCCTGAATGTAAACACAAAAACATGTCAGGTCTAAAATTGATGATCCTTGTCCTACCCTATCTGTGTCCTCAAAAATGAGCCACTTCTTACTCTTCCGAAGTAAGAGCCAGAGCACAGAAAAGAAATCTGGCAAGTGAAAAATCTGCCAGAAAAAAAGCATACACACTTCAGCAACAGATAACTATAATTTAAAAAAAAATACTACTTATACGGATATCAAGGGATTTTCCCCAAAGGTGTCCGCACCTTGTAGGCGGAGTTGAGATTCTCAATAACCTTGGGAGCTACGCCATTGGTAGTGTAACTATAAGCAGGGAATCCATCCCAAGCCAGATAGGTCAAAGGACAGAAAATAGACAAAGAGAAATACCCCGGGCCTCTAGGCGAGCGGGGTGGTGAAGTTTGGGGCAGACAACCCCATCCTTGTAAAACCTATTACTGTCACCACGAAACAAATAAATGCTGAGCAGATGGAGCTCTACAGCTGGCTGTTACAAATGCTGACCCATTTTGGGTTTTCGTTATTTAAAAACCCTATCCCAGCTGTTGTCAGAGGCCCTAATATAACCTAACGGTTGAACAGGGCCTTCGGGGACTTGCGCCCAGGTGATTCTCATCAAAAAGGGTGTTTATAGCTCGTTGTGTGGTCCTGGTGGGTTTCAACTTCACTCATTCAGCTCTACTGCTGGGGCAAGCAGCCCATCTAGGAGAATGACTCTAATCACAAACTGCCATTGTCCAATGGAAAAGTCTTTGTTTACGGATAAGGAATCTCATCCTAATTGAATAAAGCATTGAAGCCAGAGGTGAAGGGCTAAAGGCGTTAAAAGCCCAGAAAGTTGTCACAACTGAATCTAAAAACTATGGCACCACACAACTCCTCTTTACATCCAGCTCCAATAACATACCTAGCAGCACCAGCTCTAATAACATACCTAGCAGCAGCAGCTCTAATAACATACCTAGCACCACCAGCTCCAATAACATACCTAGCACCACCAGCTCCAATAACATACCTAGCACCACCAGCTTCAATAAGATACCTAGCACCACCAGCTCCAATAACATACCTAGCACCACCAGCTCCAATAAGATACCTAGCACCACCAGCTCCAATAACATACCTAGCACCACCAGCTCCAATAACATACCTAGCACCACCAGCTCCAATAACATACCTAGCACTACCAGCTCCAATAACATACCTAGCACCACCAGCTCTAATAACATACCTAGCACCACCAGCTCCAATAAGATATCTAGCACCACTAGCTCCAATAACAAAGCTAGCACCAGCTCTAATAAGATACCTAGCACCACCAGCTCCAATAACATACCTAGCACCACCAGCCCCAAAAACATACCTAGCACCACCAGCTCCAATAACATACCTAGCACCACCAGCTCCAATAACATACCTAGCACCACCAGCTTCAATAACATTCCTAGCACCACCAGCCCCAAAAACATATCTAGCCCCACCAGCTCCAAAAACATACCTAGCACCACCAGCTCCAATAACATACCTAGCACCACCAGCTCCAATAAGATATCTAGCACCACCAGCTCCAAAAACATACCTAGCACCACCAGCTCCAATAACATAACTAGCAACACCAGCTCCAATAACATACCTAGCACCACCAGCTCCAATAACATACCTAGCACCACCAGCCCCAAAAAACATACCTAGCACCACCAGCTCCAATAACATACCTAGCACCACCAGCTCCAATATGATACCTAGCACCACCAGCTCCAATAACATACCTAGCACCACTAGCTTCAATAACATACCTAGCACCACCAGCTCCAATAACATACCTAGCACCACCAGCCCCAAAAACATACCTAGCACCACCAGCATCAAAAACATACCTAGCACTACCAGCTCCAATAACATACCTAGCACCACTAGCTTCAATAACATACCTAGCACCACTAGCTTCAATAACATACCTATCACCACCAGCTCCAAAAACATACCTAGCACCACTAGCTTCAATAACATACTTAGCACCAGCTCCGATAACATACCTAGCACCACCAGCTCCAATAAGATACCTAGCACCACCAGCTCCAATAACGTACCTAGCACCACAGGCTCCAATAAGGTACCTAGCACCAACAGCTCCAATAACATACCTAGCACCAACAGCTCCAATAACATACCTAGCACCAACAGCTCCACTAACATACCTAGCACCACCAGCTTCAATAACATACCTAGCACCAGCTACAATAAGATACCTAGCACCAGCTCCAATAAGATAACTAGCACCACCAGCTCCAATAAGATACCTAGCACCACCAGCTCCAATAAGATACCTAGCACCAGCTCCAATAAGATAACTAGCACCACCAGCTCAAATAAGATACCTAGCACCACCAGCTCCAATAAGATACCTAGCACCACCAGCTCCAATAACATACCTAGCACCACCAGCTCCAATAAGATACATAGCACCACCAGCTCCAATAAGATACCTAGCACCACCAGCTCCAATAACATACCTAGCACCACCAGCTCCAATAACATACCTAGCACCACCAGCTCCAATAAGATACCTAGCACCACCAGCTCCAATAACATACCTAGCACCACCAGCTCCAATAAGATACATAGCACCACCAGCTCCAATAACATACCTAGCACCACCAGCTCCAATAAGATAGTTAGCACCACCAGCTCCAATAACATACCTACCACCAGCTCCAATAACAAACCTACCACTAGCCCCAATAAGGTACCTACCACCACCAGCTCCACTGAGATACATAGCACCACCAGCTCCAATAACATACCTAGCACCACCAGCTCTTAGAAGCAATAAATTACACTGAATATAAACAATCCTCATTATTATGTTCCTTGCCTAATAAATATAAGTTGTCTTGTTTTACCATCAATCATGATCATCAGAATGATGGATCAAGTCACTGCGCTGGTCTCGCCTCATCCATACAGGTAAGCCATCCAAGCATTTATCTTGCTGTCTTCCCCGTTCTTACCATCAGTTGATATGAAATTTTCAAGTCCATTCCTCTCATTACATCTCCGAAGAACACACACATGATGTCCTTTAAGATGTCAAGAACAGTTATTATTTGACAACATTCCTCTTGTGGGTTCTAGGGCCCAAATTTTGTGTTGTACAAGGCTACTTCTTACTTTTCCAAAGTGTCAATCAAATCATCATGTGTCACTGTACTTCTGACAATTAGCCAGAGCACTGCAAAGAAATCTGGCAAGTGCACAATCTAATTAGTTAGACTTCATCTACCTAAGAGACGAGGAACCAACAATCTGCACAGTCACATCTGCAAAATGGATGGGCATGCAAAACACATTCTGGAATAAGACCAAAGTCCAACAAGTGGACAAACAGCCAGGACTTAAACAGCCAGTTAAGGCAAAAAGAAAAAAGAACAAGATACACACCACAACTGACCTCATATCTCTTCATGGACTGGAACAGCCTGCCAAGATTGCCATAATGCTTGGCTGTCTGGACATTCTCCTCCCCAAAAGTGGCCTTTGTTTGTTCTAGAGAGGACAGGTGCAGGCTCAGAGCCTCCTCCAGATACTTCTTCTCCTCATCCTTGTCAGGACAGTCAATCCCAATCTCTTCCAATATCAAAGCTGAGAGAAACAAACAAATAGTACATTTCAGTTAGGTATGTAAAATCTACAGAATGTTGCAGAACCAGCTTTGCTTTGACCATTCATGATTTTTACCAGGCAACTTTTCATTCAGTAGATTGCCACTGCAATTCTGCACGGTAAGTTCTAGACACCCGAAGAAGAAACAATGGATCTTCCTTTCTCTCGCTGGTCATGGTCAACTCCTGCTGGTAATGGTCAACCCCTGCTGGGTCATGGTCAACAACTGCTGGGTAATGGTCAACAACTGCTGGGTAATAGTCAACTCCTGCTGGGTCATGGTCAACAACTGCTGGTAATGGTCAACAACTGCTGGTAATGGTCAACTGCTGGGTCATGGTCAACTCCTGCTGGGTAATGGTCAACTCCTGCTGGGTCATGGTCAACTCCTGCTGGGTCATGGTCAACTCCTGCTGGTCATGGTCAACTCCTGCTGGTCATGGTCAACTTCTGCCTCTTCTCAGAACCATGCCCCTCATGACTGCCTGCTGTTCAGAGCAGCATTTTGCAACCAGACAATACATCATGATCTTGAAACCCAGACCTTACAAGCACGAGTGGATCAGTGAGTTACCATGGCCTGAACATGTAGGCAGAATGGGAGAGAATCAGCCACCATGGCAAGCCAAGAACCCCACCTCTATGACGACCCAAGGTTCGCAGGGAAGACAACATCCGACAGTTTTTGACTGACTAAGAGAATCAGCCACTATGGCAAGCCAAGAACCCCACCTCTATGACGACCCAAGGTTCGCAGGGAAGACAACATCCGACAGTTTTTGACTGACTAAGAGAATCAGCCACTATGAAATGAACACCCACCTCTAACGACCCAAAAGGGAAAAACATGCAGTTTTTTGACTGACTAAGCACTGAAATGGAACGAAGCCAAAAGGAAAACTGCTGACAGAGAAGTCTGGTGATCTCTCTAGCAAACCTTTACAAACCCCGGTTGAAGAGGATTGACAAAGTAAGTAAGTAGACAGAGTGGCTTTCAGCCCGAGGATTTAAGGCTGCACAGTTAGTAGATGCTCTGAACTATGCACGGTTAAGATGTGTATTACTCCATTACTATTATGCCCCACCATTACGATGTTTAATATGGCCAAAGTATTTCAGTTAAAAACCAAAAAAATGATACTACAGAGCCTATTCCCTTAATGTTTGAAGAACAATGCAAAAAGTCAGCAATTTCCCTCTTCCTGGTATCAAAGCAGTGTAAATGTATTTGTTTAAACAGTCCTGGACAAAAATTAGCAGCTAGAAATGTTACCTTTGACCCTTTTCGAAGACGACAGCAACAGATGATCTTCTGGAAGAATCTTACTTAAAATACTCATAGATTTCTCCGCATGATCCCTGAAACAAAGAAAAGTAGAAATCTGTAGTCATTCGGAGGATTGACAGGATTATCTCCAAATCAAAACCGCCTTCTCCTTCTGCTACCACTTTTTTCTTCCTTCCGTCTCCTCCTCCACTTTATCTTCTTCGATTCATTCCTCTTCTTCTATAAATCTATCCCCCAAAAATTGTGTATCCTTATTTTTCCTCTTATTGAATGAATGAGAGAATCAAGAGTTGACACGACCGCACTCAGAACATTCCCACATGTGCTCTGTCCTCTTCTGCAGTAGTTAACGAAGAGTTGGCACGCTAATAATACCAGTTGCAACCTAACTAAAAGTCCACCTTTGTTTCCCCTTCAATGTTGAATATCTTCCAGAACCTCTACAGGCTAACCGTTGAATTAGTCTGTCTTCTTCTCATATTCTTATTTTTCATTTCATCTTCTTCTCGTGTGTAGTTAAGTAATGTCTAAAACAAAAGACAGCCAGTCGATTAGTGAAAAATTACATGGAAGCTGCAGAGAACTGGTTTTATCGACGAATAATGAGAGCTGCAGTGTTCCGATGGGTGGAATCAATCTCAGCCACTGTCATAGCGTCGGATTCACAATGCATGCTCAAAAAGGTAGTGTTGGCTTTTCTTTGTATGGAATGGATTACATCAATCCAGAGGTCGTAGGTGGTAAGAGTTACATGGATTTTTTCGCCCGAGTATTCATGTGTGTTTGGGAATGAGCAGGCAGATAGGCTGGCTAGAATGGCCCCATTTGGGGGGTGTACTGCAACTGTACAAGGCAGCAGAGGTGATTTCAAACCTGTGGGACAGGGTAACAGGTGAAATGAAGGATACTGAAAATCCACACCTGGAGAGAAAGAATGATACAGGGAAGAGTGGCTGTGGGCTCTGGATGCCGTTCGGGACTCAAGAGGGAAATCAAGACAAGCAGTTAACCAGATCTTTGCATGCCCATCCATTTTATAGATCTAACTTATTTGTATGCAGACTGTTGGTTCCTCACCTCTCAGGCTGATGCACTCCGACTTTGAATGAAACACTCCTAATTAGTCTGCTTTTATAAAAGAAGGTACATTTTGTGTGGTCTCTGGTGCTGTGTTCAGGTCGCAGTCCCCTCTAGGGGGCGCGGAGTCAAATTCCACTTCTGAACACTTATTACTGTGGTCTTTGTGACAAAGTGGTCAAGTCGTTGGCCTTGCTCTCTGGAAGTCGTGGGTTCGTTTTCTTGCCTGCGTCACTCAGTTCATGAGTGCAATTTTTACGGAGATCCCTGGCGTAGCTGGAGCAGCAGAGTTCATGCTTTGTGCGATATTCTCAGCAAACAGTTAGCTGTTCTGTGAAGGGAGACCAAGCCTCTCAACTTTACCTTTAGCTGTAATCTAGATCAGTGTTTTTCAACCGGTGGAGCGTGGATAAGTCCAGATCAGCTAGCCACAATTTTTTTGCCTGGTCATGTAATGGGATAGGGTGGGTGTTTTTTCTTCTCTTTTCCAGAAATGCAGTCTGTAAATTAACACATCATGGGACAACAATAAAACAGGTTCAAATCCCTAAAATCCCACTCAATCGTATATAATTTGTAACCTCCTAGCAGCAGCACATGCCGCCTTAGCTGAAAATAGTAATTTTGTGACATTGAATAAAACACATTTAATGCAATCCACATTTGTTTTTGTGTTTAGTGGGCTGCAAAACAAGCTCCCCTGTGTCGGTGGGCTGCAAAACAAGCTCCCCTGTGTCGGTGGGCTGTGAAACAAGCTCCCCTGTGTCGGTGGGCTGTGAAACAAGCTCCCCTGTGCGGTGAAATAAGCTGCCCTGTGTCGGTGGGCCGCGAAACAAGCTCCCCTGTGTTGGTGGGCTGTGAGATATGTTCCCCTGTGTCGGTGGCCCGTAAAACAAGCTCCCCTGTGCCAGTGGATCATGAAACAAGCTCTCCTGTGTCGCAAAACAACCTCCTCTGTGTCGTGTAAAAAGGGTGCAGAACACTGCTCCTCAACCTTTTGACCCCTCCCCCGGCGGCCCACCTAATAGCTAACCAAACACAGAAACAATAACAAATTTAGACAGCAGTTTAGCTGTTAGACCCGCATCACAAAATGACAACTTTCAGCAGATTCTTACCCTTAAGGTGTTAATCCTACAGAACCCAATTCTGGAAGAGAAAAACCTAGCTACCCAACACAGTTATGTGATTAGGCAGACTTTTTGGCTGGTCCCCCTGAACTTTTTCCTGGCACACAAACGGACTGCCGCCCACTGGTTGAAGAACACTGCTCTCGTTAGATAAGGAAGAATATAAAGTGACATCTAACCAATCTGTATAATCTTTATAAAGCAGTAATAACTTGGCAAGAATTACCTTGCATGCTGAAACTTTCCAGAACTGTATTCATTCACATACGAGGCATACGCCAAATCCTCACACGCTATGGCCACATAAAAATTATTGCCCCCAAACACTGACTGCCTGATATCCAGGGCAAGCTGAAATGCAAGAGATACATTTTTCTTACGTGACACAAATATCTAAATGTCTGTAACAACTGCAAGAACTTTGTTAATTACCCAAGTATTCAACTATACTTATAGCTGGACGAACAACACAGCAGTAGCTTCTCTTATGTTACAACTAAACTGACAGCATTGTCGGTGTTTCGCTATGTCCTAAAGTTACAACTGCATTATCTACGACTTGTGCTCACATAACGTAACAATTGGACAGATTAACACATCCATGTTTTACTATCTCAAAAGTTACATTTAGACAGACAAACACATCATTGATGTTTTGTTGCATCTTAGAATTACACCTGGACAAACACATCCTTAATGTTCTGCTGCATCTTAAAATTAAATCTGGACAAACACATCATTGATGTTCTGCTGCATCTTAAAATTACACCTGAACAAACACATCATTAATGTTCTGCTGCATCTTAAAATTACACCTGGACAAACACATCATTAATGTTCTGCTGCATCTTAAAATTACACCTGGAACAAACACATCATTAATGTTCTGCTGCATTTTAAAATTACACCTGGACAAACACATCATTAATGTTCTGCTGCATCTTAAAATTACACTTGGACAGATCAACACATCAATAATGTTCTGTTGTGTCTTAAAATTACACCTGGACAAACACAAATAAATTATTCTAGGTCTCACTGCCTATATCATTCTATTAGTGCTCTCTCTGCCTCTTTCGACATCACCAGGCTCACTTCTTAGTTACAAGACATCATCTTTTTTCTTCTTTACATCCACCAGCTGTAAACTCTGGTGAAAAGTTATGGTTGTTTATCCACTTCTTGACTTTAGTCTTGTTGCAGAGCTTGAGCTTTGCATGCAAATCTGTTTTACAGATCTGGCTTATTAATATGCGGACTGTTGGTTCATCAGCTCTCAGGTGCCCTTCAATTTCAAAGGAATCACCCAGAACCCTATTTAGCTGCCTATTATCACATGCTTGTTAGGGAGGCAGTGGGCCTATTTTTTTACCCTCATAATGGGGCCCAGAACCCATACAGTGAGTTACAAGACATAAGATGATGGCATTCAGGAAAATAATCAACATAATAAACAAAAAGGACTGAAATCTGCGCAGGGATATGAATGCCTACATAACCAAGCACAACAATATGATGAAGGTAAATCGCATTATATGTGTGCGTGTGTACATATATATTTTAATATATATATATACACATTCATATATGTGCGCACGCACGCACATACGTATGTATGTATATTATTATTTACCTGATACACTTGCACTGCCGGACTCACACAATCAGAATTCAACAAGAAGAAGCCATAATCCAGAAGTGTGTCTGCGTGTTTAGGATGATATTTGCCAAATTTTACCCTGCCAGAATAAACATTAAAATGGAATATCAGCAATCGGTATTGTAATATCTGATATAATTATTGCTGATTTTTACCAAATTTCTCCCTTCTGGAATAACCTATGTTTTTTTAACCCCACCTAAAATCTAGCTGACTAGATTGACTTTAACATTAAATCCAAAGGATCATTAGAAATGGAAAGATCTGATCAAACGGTCAACAGTAACTCGGTGACTCAACAGCACACATGATTGAAGATGGACAGACAGAGGCAAAGTCAGCGGTGCAATAGCTGATCAATGAAAATTCATGCTCAGGTGACATCATTATACACACAGACGGGTCTGTAATTAGAAGTAAGAAGAGTGGGTGGGGTTTTACTGTAAAGGTGAATGGATACTGTTTGAAAACAAAGAGCCTCTCATATGTCACTACACCCAGTATGAGAATGGAGGTGGAGGCAGTAATGGCAGCTTTCTGATGGCTTGAGAGCAGCACAGCCCAACATGTTGCAACTGCAACAGATTCACAAAGCATGCTTCGGAAAAATGAAACGGGTTTCCTGCAAGTAGAGTGGCTCGCATCACTTGATAAGACTCAGATCAAGAGCATATCATAGATTTTCTGTCAAGAATATTCAGGTGTGCGAAATAATGAGCAGGCGGAATGATTTAGCTGATGCCCCTCCTCTGGACAGTGAGCTACTTTATGATAAAGTGGACGCGGTGAAGGCTCTATGGAATCAAATGGACAGTGCAACAGAACAGGTAGAGAATCCACACACAGAAAGACTAATTCGGGGAAGGGGGGGGTGGGGGGGGTGGGGGTAGAAGTTTAAATCAGGTCACAACTGGCACTATTAGCATGTTCATTGGCTACTGAAGAAGTGGACAGAGCATGTATGAGAACATTCCGGGTGCAGTGATGCCAATTTCTGATTCATTCAGACAAACAGAAGTTTTAAACCCCAAAAAATGTGCAACTCATTACAGACCAGACGCCACTTCAGTGGCTTTTGCATCTGTCACGTTGAGAACGAATGCCACTAAAATGGCTCTTTCGAAGAGACACTCTCATATTGTTTCGTTTGCTGTGAAAATGAATTTGTTTCACCATCTTTTGACAAATTAAAATAAGCAAAACAAAGTCCTTTCATTTTAAAGTTTGGCATTTGACTACACTGTTAATATTCTTTCTTTAGTTCCCTGCTGTGACCTGGTAACACACACAGGACACTAAAAATTTAAAGCAAAAAAATGTTGTATGCCTTTGTTACATACAGATCAATAAAACGTCACACAAAAACAACAGCAAAACATGACCAAGAAAACTCTGTACCTTGCAAAAGCGACTGCATATTTGATCAACAGCTCTGCAGTTTTGAATTCTCTCTTGACCACACAAGCCTGATCAATAATAAAGAAACCATTTACTGATGATAGTGGTTAATGCATTTGTCTGCTGGTGTAAAGACCCGGCAGATGCAGTATTATTTCTGACAATTGTTTTTTTTTTTTTTTTTTAGCATTCACTGGCTGTAAACTGGTAGACATTTTGGGTTGTTCACTGACTTCAGGACTTTAGTCTTGTTGCAGAAGTAAAGTTTTATGTGCACATCTGTTTTACAGACCTGGCTAACTTGTAAGCTGACTACTGGTTCCTTGCGGCTAGAGCCCTTTTTAGTCGACACAACAATTCAGGACTTAAGTCTTGTTGCAGAAGTTAAATTTTATGTCCACATCTATTTTTAGACCTGGCTAATTTGTAAGCTGACTACTGGTTCCTTGCCGCTAGAGCCCTAATTTGTAGCCATTTAAGACATTTCTGTTCACATAGGGGGGAGTCAGTGAGTCTATTCTTTTTTTTTTCATGTCAAAATGTGGCCACAGAAACCCATACAGGGATGATTCAGGGCTTCACTCAGCTTCATATGGGTTACAGAATACACATATCTTTGTATGTTCGCTGTGTGGGTCAAAAGAACCCATGTCAGGAAGGGACAGAATCAACCCACTTCACTTAACAAGCATGTCGTAAAAAATAACTAATTACGGTTTTGATGACATTTGATATGTTGGGCTGAAAGGCGCAAATATCGCAGCCTAGCAGTGAACCACAACAAAACATGCCAACCTCACTTTTAAGTGTGCAAGCAGAAGAAAAAGACGATTTCAATATCTACTCAACCTGTATTTATCCAAGGGCTCTCGTTGGAACAGTGCTTCAGCCATTTACCTTAGGCTCTGAACACGGGAAATAAGTTTTGGACCCGAAGGAAACTGCAGGTGCTTATGAGATCACTGGGGCTCACTGCTGGGGTTAAGCAATTTGTGCTTTTTGTGACACTCTCAGCAAGAATACAGAAAGACTGCGCCATATGAGAATAAATCTGGTACAATGAACTCAATCCTCATGCTTGTAAACACCTTTTAATTATATATATTTATAACATTTAACAATCCTAAACATGATCTACAATCTAATTTACATGTAGGTTATATACTATTTAACTATCTTTTCTATTCCTAATCTGCATCTACATATCTAATTTATGTAGAGTCTATATAAAACAATTTTACTGTCTAATCTAATTACTTTCGACCCATATACTGCGCTTTTATCCTTAGAGCATATAAATATTTTAATCAAAAATGTCATAAAAATAGAAACTATTTTATTTTTCAATCGTCTAGAATAAATATACGTACAAATTTAATGTGTTGTGTTTTTTATACTAATAGAACAGGAATGTAAGCTAGACACACACAAAATGTACATAAATATTCAATTTGTTGTGTTTTATACTGCAAGAATAGACCGCACAAACATTTGAACAGGCTAAGTTCAACATGCAGAAGGTATTTCTTCTTCTTCTTCTTGTTCACCGGCTGTGAATTCCGGCGGTAAGTCGCGGTTATTCGTCCAAAATGGACTTTTGGCTTTTACCGTGACCTGAGTTTTTGCAATAACATGAAAATAAATACGACTATAACTGCTGTTATGCAGGTCAGTAGAATTCCTAGTCCGCTATATATCAGGTTAAATGGTACCTGTCTGAAGCAAGTTAAAGAATTGAAATATCTAGGTAGTATATTCTCAGAAGACAGGAGAACAGACTGGAAAATAGAAACATGAGGCCAACGAGCCAGTGCACTTATATACCAACTGACACCATTAAGACATCCAAGCATAAGCAGAAGCACCAAGGAACAGATTATAAACAGTATATTCATACCAACACCACGCTACCAGTGCCAGACATGGACATTATCAAATACTAACCTATGCAAAATTAACACCTGCGAAATGAGATGCTTGAAAAAAGCTGCTAACTCAACCATTGGAGACAAAGTTAGAAATGATATTATCAGACAGACAGTAGGAACACCACCATGCAGCAGATTAATTGAGAAACAGAATTTCAAACGGTCTGGTTATTTAGTAAGAACGCAGCCAAAACAACTACCAACGCAGGCGCTACATATGAAAAGATCTGAAGTGAAAAATCAAAACAAACAGTAGGAACAACATAATGCAGCATATTCATTGAGAAACAGAATTTCAAACAGTCTGGTTATTTTGTAAGAACGCAGCAAAACAACTACCAACGCAGGCGCTGCACATGAAAAGATCTGAAGTGAAATCAAGAGGCTGCCCTAGGAGAAGATGGACTGATGACATTAAATAGCTTCTATATTGACATGGAATGACAACAGCCATTGCTGCCCATTAAGCAATGGATTGCAAATTGTTCCTCCCCACACTTAACGGCAGAAGTGGAAATTAATGATTATGATGATAATGTGTTTTATACAACAGAAAAAAAAAATGTATGCTACACAAAAAATATTTACATAAAAATTTAATTTGCTTTTATACTAATAGAAAAGGACTGTACTAGATAGAAAATATACATTCAAATTTAATTTGATGTGTTTTAAACTAACAGAAAAGGACTGTAAGCGAGACAAACAAATGTAATTTGTCAGGTGTTATACTCACCTTAGAACACAGCCTCATTACATTGACAATTGACTAGTCAAAGAAAAAAGGGAAAATAAATAAATTATACAAGAAAAAATAATGAGTTTAAAGTCTTGCAATGAAAAAATGTATTTCAGCAATAAGGTAGTTAAGTAAAACATTTCAACTTAAATATAATAAAATCATGTATAAGACAGCAGCTATTTTTTAGCAAAAAATTTTGAAATAAATATTTTAATCACATTCAAGTACAAGATGACGCATAATTTTCAATTCTTCTTCTTCTTTGCTCAGCAGCTTTATCTCCGGCAGAAAGTCCTGGTTCTTTGTCTATTCGAACTTTGGCTTTGTGCCAAGACCTGACTTTTGCGTGTACATCCACTGTACTGGCTTATTTGTGTGCCGTTCCGGCAGATGAATCCCAACTTCGAAGAAAGCCCCCAATCAGTCGACTCCTACAACATGCTTGTTGTAGAGACAGTGGGTTTATTTTTGTTTTCCCTACAATAGTGACACCCAGAATCCATAAAGGGACAATTTTAAACAGTGGGTTTATTCTTGTTTTCCCTACAACGGTGCCCCAGAATCCATAAAGGGACAATTTTAAACAGTGGGTCTATTCTTGTTTTCCCTACAATGGTGCCCCAGAATCCATAAAGGGACAATTTTAAACAGTGGGTCTATTCTTGTTTTCCCTACAATGGTGCCCCAGAATCCATAAAGGGACAATTTTAAACAGTGGGTTTATTCTTGTTTTCCCTACAATGGTGCCCCAGAATCCATTAAGGGACAATTTTAAACAGTGGGTCTATTCTTGTTTTCCCTACAATGGTGACCCAGAATCCATACACTGACAATTTTAAACAGTGGGTCTATTCTTTGTTCTTCAAACTGTAGCCCTGAAACCCACATGGGGACTATTTAATAATGAAACCCGCTTAAATATTGTGAAAATTACCATCTATTTAACTATAATCCACCATTTAATTATGAAAATGCTTAAATATTGTGAAAATTAACATCTATTTATCTATAATCCACCATTTAATTATGAAAATGCTTAAATGTTGTGAAATTTATCTATAATTAGGCTTAGTAGAGGATGTACAATCAGGCTTTAATAGGAGGGGGCGTCAAGATTCCAAAAATATTTTAAATGACTTTAATCTTTAAACCTTTTTTTTTTCCCCACAGGAAGTCATGCTTTTGTGTAGCTTTCCTCTCCCCTAAGCAGCTTTTCTGTGCAGTACCACAGATGACCTAAATAAATTAAACGGAGAGGATTTACTTCGCTGCATGCGGTTTTATCCAATATGGCTTGGTCTCTCCAAATGATGGATAGCGTTGCAGAAAGCACTAACACCTTAGCTCTAGCGATGATTCCAGGGAAAAACTGCACTCATTAACTGAACACTGGGTCCACGTCCTTTAAATTGCAACCCATTCTGACTTGACCCCTTAAAAAGTACCTCTAAACCACAGGATACAAAAGGAAATTTTAAAAAGTGAGTAAATGACTGTCTCACCATAGCACACATGTTTGAATTGAGCTCGAGGATGGCCAGATGGCAAGTATTGAAAGCCTGTGGACAAAAATTAAAATAACACTATTCAGAAACAGAATATAAATAACACTAATCAGAAACAGAATATACAATGTTGAATTTTCAATTAAGAATCAACATCACAGCACTCAGGACACCCCCATAAGCCCTCCGTCCCCATCTTCAGCAACAGGCGAAGAGTTAAAATTTTGATGCTACCAGTAACTGTCTGATTGTATATCCATCACGCCTTTCCCTTGAGTGTCGAGAGTGACCAGATCCCCTTGTAACTCCTCGCAGTGCCACTCTCCTCAGATCGTACAGAGCTCCTAAGTCAATCTTTTCTCATTACACCGAACAAAGTATGTAAACATTTTATTTCTGTAGTAAATATTTTCTTTCTGTCATCTGAAGACAACGTCCATGTTTTACAATACCAGCATAGCATTGTTAAGAATATTGTGTTGAATAGTGTTCTTTGAGGGTTCATTTTCACATGCTTGCATTTCAAAATTGGTACCATTTGGCCTAAAACTTGATTCCCTTTATTGAGACAGATCATGTGTGGGATTCATCAGTTTCACTGTTTTATGTTGTGTTCATTCATTCTTCTCTGCGCTGCTTTTGCCCACAAAAGGGCACAGCTTCTTCTTCATTTGCGGTGGTGTTTTTGTGTTGTGGTTTAAAGCCAGACTGCCATATCTGTACCTTTTTTTTACCTAAGAGATTAAATATCTCTTAGGACATGCTTGTGAAGAGGCAGTGAATCTATTCTTTTACCACAAAAATTAGGTCACAGGGTTAGGGTAGGGCATCTCTAAACAAGATAACACAATAAACAGGTCACAGGGTTAGGGTAGGGCATCTCTAAACAAGATAACACAATAAACATGTCACAGGGTTAGGGTAGGGCATCTCTAAACAAGATAACACAATAAGCAGTCTCACCTGTACACATCTAAACAAGATAACACAATAAACAGTCTTACCTGTACACATCTAAACAAGATAACACAATAAACAGTCTTACATGTACACATCTAAACAAGATAGCCCAATAAATAGTCTCACATCTAAACAAGATAGCACAATAAATAGTCTCACATCTAAACAAGCAGCACAATAAATAGTCTCACATCTAAACAAGATAGCACATTAAATAGTCTCACATCTAAACAAGATAGCACAATAAATAGTCTCACATCTAAGCAAGCAGCACAATAAATAGTCTCACATCTAAACAAGCAGCACAATAAATAGTATCACATCTAAACAAGCAGCACAATAAATAGTCTCACATCTAAACAAGCAGCACAATAAACAGTCTCACTCTAAACAAGCAGCACAATAAATAGTTTCACATCTAAACAAGATAGCACAATAAATAGTCTCACATCTAAACAAAATAGCACAATAAATAGTCTCACATCTAAACAAGATAGCACAATAAATAGTCTCACATCTAAATAAGCAGCACAATAAATAGTCTCACATCTAAACAAGCAGCACAATAAATAGTATCACATCTAAACAAGCAGCACAATAAATAGTCTCACATCTAAACAAGCAGCACAATAAACAGTCTCACATCTAAACAAGCAGCACAATAAACAGTCTCACATCTAAACAAGATAGCACAATAAATAGTCTCACATCTAAACAAGATAGCACAATAAATAGTCTCACATCTAAACAAGATAGCACAATAAATAGTCTCACATCTAAACAAGCAGCACAATAAATAGTCTCACATCTAAACAAGCAGCACAATAAATAGTCTCACATCTAAACAAGCAGCACAATAAATAGTCTCACATCTAAACAAGATAGCACAATAAATAGTCTCATATCTAAACAAGCAGCACAATAAATAGTCTCACATCTAAACAAGCAGCACAATAAATAGTCTCACATCTAAACAAGATAGCACAATAAATAGTCTCACATCTAAACAAGACAGCACAATAAATAGTCTCTCATCTAAACAAGACAGCACAATAAATAGTCTCACATCTAAACAAGACAGCACAATAAATAGTCTCACATCTAAACAAGACAGCACAATAAATAGTCTCACATCTAAACAAGATAGCACAATAAATAGTCTCACATCTAAACAAGATAGCACAATAAATAGTCTCACATCTAAACAAGATAGCACAATAAATAGTCTCACATCTAAACAAGCAGCACAATAAATAGTCTCACATCTAAACAAGCAGCACAATAAATAGTCTCACATCTAAACAAGACAGCACAATAAACAGTCTCAGCTGTACACAACTAAACAAGACAGCACAATAAATAGTCTCACATCTAAACAAGACAGCACAACAAACAGTCTCACCTGTACACAACTAAACAAGCAGCACAATAAACAGTCTCACCTGTACACAACTAAACAAACAGCACAATAAATAGTCTCACATCTAAACAAGATAGCACAATAAACAGTCTCACCTGTACACAACTAAACAAGCAGCACAATAAATAGTCTCACATCTAAACAAGACAGCACAATAAAGTCTCACCTGTACACAACTAAACAAGATAGCACAATAAACAGTCTCACCTGTACACAACTAAACAAGCAGCACAATAAACAGTCTCACCTGTACACAACTAAACAAGCAGCACAATAAATAGTCTCACATCTAAACAAGATAGCACAATAAACAGTCTCACCTGTACACAACTAAACAAGCAGCACAATAAATAGTCTCACATCTAAACAAGACAGCACAATAAACAGTCTCACCTGTACACAACTAAACAAGATAGCACAATAAACAGTCTCACCTGTACACAACTAAACAAGCAGCACAATAAACAGTCTCACATCTAAACAAGATAGCACAATAAACAGTCTCACCTGTACACAACTAAACAAGCAGCACAATAAATAGTCTCACATCTAAACAAGACAGCACAATAAACAGTCTCACCTGTACACAACTAAACAAGCAGCACAATAAACAGTCTCACCTGTACACAACTAAACAAGACAGCATAATAAACAGTCTTACCTGTACACAACTAAACAAAACAAAAAAATAAACACTCTCACCTGTACACAACTAAACATGACAGGACAATAAACAATCTCACCTGTACACATCTAAACAAGACAGCACAATAAACAGTCTCACCTGTACACAACTAAACAAGACAGCACAATAAACAGTCTCACCTGTACACAACTAAACAAGGCAGCACAATAAACAGTCTCATCTGTACACAACTAAACAAGACAGCAAAATAGTCATGCATCTAAACAAGACAGCACAATAAACAATCTCACCTGTACACAACTAAACAAGACAGCAAAATAGTTGTGCATCTAAACAAGACAGTACAATAAACAGACACACATGTACACACCTAAACAACAAACCTCTCACCTGTGTGTATCTGCTCTGAGCAAACAAAAGAGCACAGCGCTCAGCATACAGCACAGCTTTGTTAACTCTCTCCCCGACTGCTTCCAGAGCAGAACAAATCTTCAAAGCTTTGTTGTACGTCTCCTCGGCTTCCTTGTACTGACAGTTTACATTCTGACTGTGCAACAACCTGCAGGCAGAAAACACCAAAGATGGTTTTAAAAAAAATTAACAATTCTCTACAGCAGGACTATTTAACTGGCGACCTGCAGGTTAAGTTGGCCCATGGGGGTTTGAGGTTTGAACAACGGATCAACATCTGGTACATCTGAGTCTGAAGAAGCTCAGCACAGTTTACAGGCTCTGAAGCACCGGCGAGGATCCTGAAATACTTTGGGTACATTTTAAACTCCAAATTTAGCCTGGACAGCGCCGTTTGGCTACTCTTTTCGATTTCCAAAAGCCGAGGGACTTTTTTATGTGCGCAACACTGCACACGGGCGTCTGATGTCACTACCCAGAGTAGAGTAAAGTAAAGTGAAGGACCCTTTTTCACACCTTTAGGCGTTGGGCATATAGGGCTAGACCTATATTTTTATAGACCATTGGCACAAGATGGGTGATGTGGTCAGCATCACCGGCCGCCTCTACTTCCCTGGACTGCTCCCGGTACCCACTCAAGGCTGGGTCGACCTGGGAGCCAAGGACATCTCTGAAAAAAGTCTCGCTCCTCTAGGGAGCGAAACCACGACCTTCCGATCCGCGGCGAGCATCTAGCCACTCAGCTACAGGGACTCCCACTACCCAGAGACCAGGGGTAAATACTAGAAGTCCAAGTCCACGTGAAAAAATCCCAGCCTTCACCAGGGATTGAACCCGGAACCTCTAAATTTTGTACTGTTCACTCAAGGCGGACACCATGCCTCAAGACCACGCAGCTCCTCTTGGAGGTCGAACAAGTGGCACGTGGATCATTGCTTGTTCTGTTGTATTATCCCCGTGCTCTGGATTTTGCCCGGTGACAATCTCCACAGTCATTGTACAATTCTGGCCCCTGAGCAAACTTAGTTTAATAGCCCTGTTCCAGAGGTTACTTGGGTAATGGCATCTACTCTGTGCCAAAAAAGTCAAAACTGGTGATGATGCATTTTCATGTGGAAAAAAATTGTTTCAAAGTGTTTACAAAAATGTAACAAAAACAGCTTTATCTAATATTTTCTAGTTTTGGTCCTTGTCTGCTACATATATTTAGTTTTTGCTATTATTTATTTCCTGCATTTACATGTGGGACAGAGCTTCAACTGAATAGAAAATCATGTGGATTTATCTCAGAGATTCCCAAATTATGTGACTCTATGTACTCTTGTTTGCAGTAACACTGTCTATTCATGTCTGTGCTCATGAAGGCTTTCTCTCCACAAAGTAGGGGTCTTCGTGGCGAAGCAGTCAAGAAAATTGCTCGCACTCTTAAGGTCGTGGGTTCATTCCACCGTAGTGCAATTTTTATGGAAATTCTTGGATATTGTCGCCAGAGCTACAGAGGTCATGCTCTGTGCGACGCTCTCAGCAGGTAACTAGCTGTTCTGCGGAGAGAGACTGAGCCATATAGGATAAAACCCGATGCAAGTCGATCCTCTAGCCTTCACCTTTGCCCACAATGTTTGCATGTCATCTGTGATCATCTGAAGCTGGTCTGCTCTACTTTTCGTCTGGTTTAACATCTTTTCACGAAAAAGTCATGAGTAAAAAGAAAAAATAAGTTTAAAAAAGTACCTGACAGGAAATTTGTTTTACAAAAGTACTTGACAAGAAAAAACACACAGTAGAAACAGTACCTGACAGACAAAAAAAAAAAAAACAAACATGAAACAGTACATGACAGAAAAAAAGTAACTGACAGAAAAACGTCCTACAGTACCTAACAGGAGAAAAAGGTTAACAAACAAAAAATAATTACATGGAATTTAAAAAAAAGTAAAACAGTACCTGTTAGAAACAAGTAAACAAGTGCCTAACAAAAAAAAAACAATTTCTCACATGCTAACAAAATAAAATAGTAAACAAAGTACCTGACAGCAAAATCCATGGCCCTGAGTTTGTCCTGCGGACTCTGATCATCTATACATGCATTCAGACAAGCTGTGTAGATGGCTATACTGTCAGCAAACCAGCCTGCCTCGCACAGAAATGCACCTGTGAAATGAGGGCAGAAAGTCAGTAGTCGCTAGTCAAAGTTTCACTTTCACAACTTCACTGCAAACAGATCAACCCACACTTGCTCCATTCTGGTGCCAGTGGAAAACACACAAAATTTCTTCAACTGAAAACTAGTTAAACACATCAGAATGTTTCAGGCAGCCACCACAGGTGCCAACACCAACAGTCTCCCCCTAGACTGAAGCTTACTCGTCTTCTTCTTTGTATTCACCAGCTGTAAACTCCGGTGAAAAATTCTGGTTGTTCGTCCACCTCTGGACTGTAGTCCTGTTCCAGAAACTGAGTGTTGCGTGTGCATCCGTTTTACAGATCTGACTCATTTGTATGCAGACTGCTGGTTCATGCCTCTCAGGCAGATGCACTCCGACTTTGAAGGAAGATCCCAATTAGTCGGCTCTTACAACATGCTTTTGGGTAGGCAGTGGGGTCTATTCTTGTTTTTCCTATAACAGGGCCCTGGGACCCACACGGGGATAAAGCTTACTGTTAATGCGAGCAGTTAATCCAGAAAGCCGGCATTTGCACAAAGGCTACATGAGGACTGAAAACAAAACAAGTCCTTAATCGTAATAATCTTCTTTGACCACACAGAAGATGAACCGAGATCATTTCTAAGTGCTATATATGAAGTGAACAAACCAACTGGAAATCCCTTCCACAATTAAAACACGCGACTTCAGGTTCACAACTGCCCTAGCATGGATTTAAATGTCCTCCATCTCAGACGCTCAGCACTTAATCCATCTGCAATCATGTTCTCTTTTACCCATATTCATTCCCTGACTGTCCTCCCTCCATGTAACATGGTCCCCCAGCATCCTGTTTTTAAAAATACACCTCAATAACAGTATCGAGGTCAATATATAATGTCATTAATAGCATTTGGCATTGATTATCTTCTTCTTCTTCTTCGTTGCATTCACTGGCTGTAAACTGCACTTCTGGACTCTAGTCCTGTTCCAGAACCTGAGTGTTGTGTGGACACCAGTTTTACAGATGTGACTCATGTGTATAAAGACTGTTGGCTCTTTGCCTCTCAGGCAGATGCACGCTGTCTTTGAAGGAAGCTCCCAATCAGTCGACTCTGACGGCATGCTTTTGGGAGCCCCAGAACAAACATGGTGATGGCACTGATTATGATACCCTAGCGATTAAGTTAAATGGGGTGTTGCCAAACAAGAACACAACGCAGGTAGCCAAAGAGGAATAATAAACAAACACAGAACTGGTGTGGACAATTGCTACACACTGTGGGATTTACTGAGGAGGGGATCCAAGCACTTATGGACTGAGTGGTTTGAGGTGCAGTGAGGATAAATCTGGTGACTAACTAATTTGCTGCACATGACAATTCATCTTGGCACTCATATCTTTGTCAGGGAGCAGAAAAGGGACAAAAGCAGCATCAATTTAACAAGAAACAAGATCATGAACCAAATGCTCCAACTGACAAGAGTCCAAATTTCCCTGTTCACACTGCCAAAGCCACATAAAATTTCACGCCATAATCGCCCTTTTCGACAATCGTATCATGAACTGGTTGTGTGGCTGTACGTTACCTAGAGCTGGCAGTCTGTCCGTCCATTCAATCCTTTTGGTATCATAGACGGAATCTAGTCCAGTATCTTTGGCCTCTCTCCATCTTAAGGTTTCTCTAAGGCGTCCTTGTTTCCTCAATCCATTTGTTTCCTATTTAAGTGCCTGTCTGGTGAATCTATGCTTCACCTCATGATATGTCCAATAAATCAGCCATCAACAAAAACAGCAAAGATCCCTTTTCACGCTGTACCGGGTAATGGGAAGAGCACCCATATTTTTACAGACCATCAGCACTAAGTGGGTAATGTGGTCAGCATTACGCCGGATCAACCATCTACACACACATTAATCCCAATCTACCACCTGCAGACGAACAACAGATCATCACCAGTCTCTCTTCACAGCCACCTGCTGAGAGCATTACACAAAGCACTAACATCGTAGTGCGGATATCAATGCCCTGGGAGCTCCATAAAAATCGCATGACGTGAACTGAACAGTCTTGGAATAAACGTCAGAGCGTGAGGAATTTGAGCACTTCGCTGCAGAGACCCCTTTACCATCATTTGTGTGAAATAAACAACATAAAAAACACCCAACAGAAACAACCCTAGACCATCACAGTTTAATGGCAAATAATCATACCTAGCGACAATCCTAACTGTAATACTCGTCCCTTAGCCACACGGTCCTCCAAAACTGCTGGTGTCAAATCTCTGCAAAATTTTGCTGAGAGAATCTGAGCCAGGTTAACCTCATTATCCATGATTGCTTGAAAGCAGCGATGTAAAAGGATCCTGTTAAATAGAGAATAAAGTTAAAGTTAGTTGTGTATCCTTTACAGGACGTTGCAGAACCAACCCTAGCATTTTCTGGCTGTTATCATTTTTCTAGGCAAATTTTACGTCCAGTAGTTTGCAACTACTTTCTGGAGGGTCAGCTTCGACCACTGTCGAAACCAGCGCAAGGCTTGCAGCTGGGATCAAACCCAGTACCCTGGCGTTATGAAGTGTGTTCCCAACACCTAAGCCACAGACAAATAGAGAATACAAACAGGTTATCATCCTCATCTACTCCTGTCATCATACATTGTTGGTAGGAGGTCATCGTGCGGGTTCCAGGGCTCTACCATAGGGACAATTTAGAAACAGACAGAACAGCCTCCCTAACAAGCATGTCATAAAAGGCGACTTATTAGCAGAGTTTCCCTCAAAGTCAGAGTGCATCTGCCTGAGAGGCAAGGAACCAACAGTCTGCATATAAATAAGCCAGGTGTGTAAAATGGATGTGCCTGCAAACCTCAAGTTCTGGAACAAGATCAAAGAAGTGGACGAGCAACCAAACCTTTCCAGACGGTGACCACTAAGAAGAAGAGTAGGTAGGAAGAATGGCATCTGAGGAAGCCAACAGAAAGCAAAGTGGCTAGACACTTTTCTGTTATCCCTAAAGTACTGGGTTCAAATCAGCAGAGGCAGATTTGCACAACTGGCCCAGGCTCTCAGGTTGACCTAGCCTAAACTGATACCAGGAAATGTCATGAGAAGTAAAGGAGGCCAAGTGTAATGTGGACCGCAGCACCCAATGAGTACTTCATCATCATCATCATGTAACACTACGTGTAGTTGGGTCACCAAGGCATAGACTCCTCCTTTATTATTCTTTCTAAACGTTCGTGATGTTTCAAGTGACCAAAATATTTCAATTTCAAGTATTTTATTGTCTTTAACAGCCAATCTTCTTCAATATTTAGTTCTTGAAGTATGGATGCATTTGTTCTTTTCTTTACCCACGATATTCTTAGAGTGTGTCTATAACATGTGTATTCAAAGGCAATTATGCGCTGTCCAATAACAATATGAGATTTTATAACAACTTTTATCCCGTGAATACTAAAACAAAACAGGGTCATGAACCAGCGAAAAGTTTTGATAAATCCTTGAGGGGGTAAAAAAAAACTATTTTACACAGGTAACTTATAAACTGTTGACAAATTTTTCATCTTAATGTTTTAAATTTTGGTTTTGAAAATATACAAAGACATATAAAGTAAGTAATCAATAAACAAGATCAGAATAAAGAAGCATTAAATGGAATGCATTACATGGGGCCTAAAACAAATATGTATCGGGTGACCCAAGTCACAACCCTGTGACCTCTAAAATTGAAGCTTATGGGAAACTGTTTCAAGTTAACCTGGCTTTAAAAAAAGGTTATTGGATTTAAAAGAAGACCCTTCTAAATGTTTTATTTACTTTGTATATTCATAACTGGGACCTCCTAAACACTGAGTAGATGCAAACAGAACCAATGACATTGATTTAAACTTTTCAAGAATATGTTTGGCACCTTTCCATGTGACTGTGTTGCGCTATGAGGAGGCATGGCCATGGCAAGTAGAACTAGCAAGAACTACCCTCATTAATAAAAGTCCTCCACAATTACACAGGACCACTTTTGTCAACATTTGTGCTTAGTGTGTTTCTTCTCAGATGCTCAGCTCTCATCCTTTCTGCAGTCATTTCTTTCTTTCATTCTCGTTCCCTTCCTGGTGTGCCCCCTCCACACAACACGATCTAGGTCATTTAGTTCCAAGTCCACCTCAATGCCTGTATCATTTGAGTCCCGCTTGCACACATTTTTACAGCGTAGTAGGGATCGGTGATATATCAGCATGCGCGGAAGCTGTGTCACAATTGGAGCTGACAAGAATTAGCCTTTTTGGATGATAAGAGTTAAAAGCAATGGCAGTGAGTCTGATACATAATGTGATGCATCGTTTCTTCTTCTTCTTCTTCTTGTTCACCGGCTGTGAATTCTGGCGGTAAGTCGCGGTTGTTCGTCCAAATGGACTTTTGGCTTTTACCTTGACCTGAGTTTTGCGTGTACATCCGTTTTACTGGCTTATTTGTTTGCAGTTCTCGTTCCCCGCCTCTCCGGCAGATGTACTCCGACTTCGAGGGAAATGCATCGTTTCAAATATCAAGAACTGTTTGGCAATACAATACACAAATTTAAGAAATTAACAAGCACAGACTTACCTCTTATTCATAACTCGTAGGACCCTAGATAGGATATTCAAATCTTGAAACTCCTTTCCCAAGTCATCAAGAACATTTTTGTCATAAAGCTGTGTGTAGAAGGAACAAACAGAAGTACATTACATTTCATCAACAAATCATTTTAAATCCACACTCCAAGACATTTGAGTTATTTAGTCGACAGATCAGTCAGTCGGTCAGTTCTCGTTATGCCTTGTGGCACATGGGGCTTCAGTGAGGACTTTCCATGCTTTCCTGTCCTGTGCAATCTTCAGTGCAGTTTTCCATGTCCAAGATGCCGCACTGAGGTAATTTTCCATCGTTCGTCTCCATGTTGTTTTTGGGCGCTCCTGTTTTCTCTTTTCCTCTGGTGTCCATGTGAGAGCTGTTTTGGTATATTAGGATTCATTCTCATAACATGGCCAAGCCATTTCCATCTTCTCTTGGTTATCATACTGTCTAAAGTCAACAGACCAACCTCACTGCAAATCCCCCTGTATGGGTTCCAGGGCCCTATTTGGGGGGAGGGGGGAGTAGACCCACTGCCGCTGCCCAACAAGTATGTTATAAAAGCTAATTAACTAGCAGTGTTTTCCTCAAAGTTGGAGTGCATCTGCCAGAGAGGCCAAAAACCAACAATCTGCACACAAATAAGAGGTGCATGCAAAACCGAAGTTCTGGAATAAGACCAAAGTTCAGAAGTGGACGAACAACCAGAATTTTCTACCGGAGTTTACAGCTGGTGAACACTAAAAAGAAGAAGACTGTACATTGAACCATTCTATCCATAAGTGCTCAGATCCCCTCTTCAGTTTATCGGTCACAGTGTAATGACTGATGATATCAGTTCTTTATTAGGTGGCTGTCCTTATTTGGCTTACTGCAGTCTCTTCTCCAACGTCACTCCTTTACACTGGCTGTTTTTGCCAGTAAACTCACTAAACCAGTGTTTCCCAAACTGTTCGTGGTTGCGAAGCCTTTTTTCAATTACAATGTTTCCACAGCGCCCTAACCCAAGTAAAAGTATGGCTATTCTTATGTTAGAGATCAAAACAAATAAAACTTGTGTATCTTCAAATATTTCGCAATGCCCCTGTGAAAAGGTTGCGGCTTCCCAGGGCGCACAGTTTGGGGATCACTGCACTAAACACCTGATGCTGATACAGTTTCATTAAGAAACGCAAAGTGGTCTGCTGCGATGAACCACGAAACCAATCCAATGATCTGCGACTAAAAAGTTTAAGGGAAATGAGGAAGCAGAACAACACAACATAAAGTGATGTTTCGGCTGGGGTATTTCTCGACGTGACCTAAACGATACAACAATAACAAAGGGGAGAGTACTCCAATAACCAAAGGGTCATGTGAGAAACTATTTTTTTTGTAAAGATAACGTGGAATGAATAAAATAAAAATGGTCCCTCTCTCTCTGTCTGGTTTTACACTCTCTCTCTGCATGGTTTAACTCTCTCTCTCTCTGCATGGTTTAACACTCTTTCTCTGCATGGTTTAACACTCTCTCTTTGCATGGTTTAACACTCTCTCCATGGTTTAACACTCTCTCTGCATGGTTTAACACTCTCTCTTTGCATGGTTTAACACTCTCTCTCTGCATGGTTAAACACTCTCTTTCTAGGGGCATGCAATGTTTAACACTCATGTATACTGCTCTACCTCTTTCAATTCAATTTCCGACATGAACATATTTAGTTAATTAAACGCTTTATTTTTTAAAAATTTTTTGTGTATAAACTACGAGAATCCTCTCTTGAAGGCTTTATATTTTTGGCACTGAAACTCCAAAAGGGCTCCGTCTCCAGAGTGTTAACCATATAAATAAAAAACAGAATATCCTCCGAATAACGGTCCCAAATTATCGAGGACGAAAATAAACCCTAACAGGGCTAGGGTTTGGGTTAACGTTGCGGTTAGTGTCGCCGCATCTCGTCTTCGCAGAAACTCAACGTAGCAACACAAACCCTAAACCCTACCCCATATCCTAACCCTAAACCTCAAACCCAAACCCTAACCGTATGATGACAGTAGGGCACTGCACGCTGTCTATCGCCAACACACAGTAATTATGTCACTTGTTTGATTCCCTCTAATCCACTTCGTAATGCGTCGCAAGAAGTGGTAATTGAACGCGGTCGCTGACTTGAGTCGCAGCACAGGTTCTGCCAGGCATTTCGACCTCACTTTGTTTTTTGATTCGTGCCTTCTCCAGTCCGTAATTGCACTGCAGCCAGGGGACAGAACTCCGACTAACCGGCCGTCAACTGTTGTCTACCGGCTGTAGTTTACAGGAGAGCCTAATTTTAATGTAAATAATGGTTGGTTAGTTAAATCATAATACTCACAGAGTATCGAAAATACAGAGTATCGATCATTAAATGACAAGTTTCAAAACAAGTGATCAACTAATAAGACAAAACAGTTTAAATTACTATCTTTTCAATCACATAATTAAAAACAAACAATTTACAACAATCAATGCAACATAAAAATAAAACATAATCACGAAACAGACGATCATATTTAATTATATACTATATTTATATTAACACTGACACAAACATTTACAGGCTTATCTTTTAACGACATTCTTACCTTATAATACACGTCGAATAAAACATCGTCCGTTAAATTCCTCAGTTCGTTTCTATAATGGGCAAATCGCATGACAACAGCAGAAATCGCGGTGTTGTAGAGAGACTCCGGTGCCCATTCCAACTCTGTCGCCCGCGCCATCTTGGATATCTAGCCACTTCTTGGCAGGGGCGGTAACTGGCGAGTTAGTGTTTCAATGGCCGGGACGGAGTTGTCTTCGTGGTAGTGCCAATAACTCTTTTTAAATGTTAGAGTAAAGGAAGGCCAAAAAACACATGGAGAAGAGAGCTGGAGAACGAGGTTATAAAGATTGGGAGGACATGGGGAGAGCTCCATGCAATGGCGAAGGATAGAACGACTTGGCGTGAGTTGGTTGAGGGCCTATGCTCCATTGGGGATAGAAAGGCAGAAGAAGAAGTGAAGGAGCCAGAATCTGGAAGGGAGGGCGGAGGTACATTAGACATTTATTCCTGTGGGGGTTCCGGGGCCCTATTATAGGGAAACAAGAATAGACCCACAGCCTACCCAAAAGTATGTCGTAAGAGTCGACTAATTGGGAGCTTCCTTCGAAGTCGGAGTGCATATGCCTGAGAGGCAAGAAACCAGCAGTCTACATACAAATGAATCAGATTTGTTAAATGGATACACACTCAACACTCAGGTTCTGGAACAGGACTGCAGTCCAGAAGTGGACGATCAACCAGAAATTTCCACCGGAGTTTATAGCTGGTGAACGCGAAGAAGAAGGTTAGACATTTAGACCACCCCCCTCCCACATCAACAACAAAAAATGGTCTCTCCCCCCCCCCTTTTTTCCCAATTTTTTAAAAAGCTAAATTGCTCCCTCCCCACCGAGTATCTCTACAAGTCTCATTTACTAAACGTAATGCCTGGTCGTCGGGTTCAATCGCAGCTGCGGGCCATTTGGCAACAGAACGTCTTGCGTTGGTTTAGACAGTGGTAGCGAGAGCTGACTACTAAACGAAAAAATTCCTAGACAAACCGCAACAGACCCCAAAAAAAATGCTGTGGGTTGGTTCTGCAACTTTCTGTAAAGGATACGCAACTAACGTAATTTTGTAATACATATCTTTTGTTACAACTATGGGTACATTCTCAGAGATACGAAAACATCTGTTTTTATCACACTACCCAAGAAATCTAAAGCTGTTCATTGTGAAGATTACAGAACTATTAGCCTAATGAGTCACGTAACTAAGTTACTCTTGAAGATAATACAAGCAAGAATTCAAAATAAAATAGATAAAGAAGTTTCTGAAGAGCAATTTGGATTCCATAAAAACAGTGGTACTCGAGAGGCCATAATTTGTCTAAAGATGCTGACTGAAAAATATATAGAAGTTCAGAAAAATATTTATGCATGTTTTATAAATTACAAAAAAGCTTTCGACAGAGTGCAACATGAACAACTAATTGCAGCTCTTCAAAACATAGGACTATATGGAAAGGATATCAGACTTATTAGAAACTTATACTGGGAGCAAGAAGCAACAGTAAGATATGACAACATCTGCTCACCCCAGATAGAGATCAAGAGAGGAGTAAGACAAGGATGTGTGTTGTCGCCTAGCCTTTTCAATTTATGTACAGAAACCATTTTTAAAGAAATTGTAGAATTACCAGGACTGCACATCAATGGTAGAATAATAAACAATCTGATATATGCTGACGACACAGTGTTGCTAGCAGAGAGTGAGCAGGAGTTGCAAGACCTAGTAGAGCAAGTAAACAGAAGGAGTGCAGAATTCGGATTAGATATTAATTTGAAAAAGACAAAAAAAAATGATATTTAGCAAAGAAAATAATCAGCTAACAGTGAACGGGGTGAAATTGGAACAAGTTAAAAATTTCTTATATGTTGGACAAGTAATAACATGTGACGGCAGAAGTGAAACAGAAGTCAAGAAAAGAATAGGGATGGCCAAAAACATTTTCAACAACATGCACAAGTTACTGACATCAAGAGAAATAAGCAATGCATTAAAAATGAGAATTGTCAAATGTTATGTATTCTCAACCTTACTGTATGGCACAGAGACACGGACAATGAACAAACAACTGGAAAAACGTATCAATTCTTTGGAGATGTGGATATACAGAAGATTAGGTCGTATTTCATGGAAACAAAAGCTATCAAATACAGAGGTACTGATGAAATTGGGAATGAAAAGAGAGTTGCTAGGTGAAATAAAAAAGAGACAAGTGAAATATTTTGGCCACATTAAAAGACATAACAGTATTGTAAAGATCATCCTAGAGGGAAAGGTTCAAGGTAGGCGAGCAGGAGGTAGACAGCGTTACAAGTGGGAGGATAACATCAAGAGATGGGCGAACAGCAGTATGAGTGAGTGTACATCAAGGGCAAGAGACATGGCTTGTTGGAGATCCTTCGCAGCAAACCTTCATTGTGGGGACGGTACCTGATTGATTGATCTTTTGTTTTCTTTCGGTTGGTAACGATACGCAGTAATAGCACTTTTTAGGCATCATTCAGCCCTTCTGAAATATACACTTTTAGGCGACTGTGGTACCTTTTAAGGCACTCTGTGGTGCCTTGAATTTTCTCCAACTGGGTAGGCACTCGAATAATGACTTTTCGATTCATTTGGTGTCAAACTGTCAAGTTTAAATACAAAGGCAATAAAGATACTCGGAGGAAAATGACTGCTTAAATACATTTTAACCGGCAATTTCTTTTCAATTGAATTTTTTATACAAATATTTAAAAATCATGTTTTTATTTAAACATATATTATTTAAGTAAATTATTTCGAATGACATGGGTTGTGTTGTGTGAAAAGGGCATATCAGGTCTATTGTGTTCGTAAATTGTTGCTGTGATTGTTATTCGACATATGCTTCGTTAATATAAATTTATGTAACCTATGGTGCCATTCAATGGTTTGAAATGAATTCTGTCCGTATTCCACAGTTGTGGATTTCAAGCTGTACGATAGACATGGCCAATAAGACACTTTTTTTTGGGGGGTGGGGGTGGGGGTGGGGGGGGTGGTGCCTAGTTGACCATGTTTTTAGTGCACTTGTATTCATGGCGAGGCGTAGACGCCGTCTGGAGGTGACAGGTTCAATTCCCGGCGCGGTAACTATAGCTTTCGATTTTAATGTTGTCTAGTGTGTTCTTCTATCTTTCTACTTCTTTCTATGAGTGCCGATCAATACACTTTCCGTTACTTGATTAATTCATATCAGGAAGGCAACGATTGTAGTGAAGCTGAAGCTTGGACTAAGATTTCAAACATGTGACCCGCAAACAGCATGCATCCCTTTGCCAGGCCCGAAAACAAAAAAATATTATGCAGTGATTTTTATTATCACAATCGCACTTCTCAGCCACATGTACACAACATTTTTTAATCGGTGAATCAACCATGTACACATGTGGATTGGCACCTGTGACAACAGTTCATGTCCTCTAAATACAACATATCATGGCAAAACTTTTGGCCAAGAGCAATATCGGTGCAAGCCAAACTTTACAGGTGGCTGAGTGAATTACAAAAGAGTGAAATTCATACTAGAGACAACATTGCAGATTTCATCATCATCATAATCAGGTGCCTTGCCGACTGGCGTGGGCGATCATGCCTCTCCATAATCTGCGATCTCCCGCAGCATGTATCAGTTCGTGTGCCGACACACCTCCATGCCATGCAACAAGACTGTCAAGCATCTTCTCTCGTTGTCTTCCTCTATCTCTTTTTCCACAGATCTTTCCAGTGGTCACAAAATGTTCTATTTTCCCTCTTCTCATAACATGGCCGAAAAAAGATGACTGTCTCCTTCTGATGTCTGTGATAAGTTGTCTTCGGGCTCCCGCCTCTTTCAAAACCTCTTGGTTGCTCTTTTTGGCTGCCCAAGGTATTCTAAGCATTCTTCTGTAAAACCACATCTCTGAGACCTCTAAAAATTGTTTGGCCTGCCTACCGATTGCAGATTTAGATAATCTATTTCAAGCGAACGAAAGAAGAAGTAGGAAGAATTAGTTCACGTGCCTGGGCCTCATGAGAACACAGATGTGTTACATTTGGCCTTCGAGAGACTTTTTAGTTTGACATACCTGCTTTTACATGAAGTTGCAGAACCAACATAAACATATGGGGGAAAAGTGTGTGTGTGTGTGTGTGTGGGGGGGGGGGGGTGTGTTGTGATTTTAGTAGCTCGTTTTAAGTTTAGTAATTTGCCACAACTAATCGAGGGTCGGCGCTCGATATTACTGTTGACACCAACGCAGGACCGTGTGCTGCCAAACTGCACGCAGCTGGGATCGAACCCCGCACCATGGAATTATGAAGCGCGTTCGCATCCCCTAACCCACAGCCACTGACTTTTTTACGTTTAATCGTTTAATATATCACCTTATATTATACTTTTAACTTTTTTTATATTATACTCAACACGTGTATTCTATGCAATATTAGGAAGTATTAAACAAACATAAATTTCCGGTATTTGAGTAGACATTTGTATATACATCCAAATCCCCGTCTCTCTAGCGTATTTGGCTAAACCGGATTGCGCGGTGACCGGGTGACGAACTCCTTGTGGTCCGGGTTCACTCCAGGGGGTAGGCAGAAAAGCCACATTTCTCCCAGATTTACGGTATTTACAATGGAATCAAGGCCGAAAGGTTGCGATATCCATAACAACTCATGGTTTTTGGTTACTAAAACAAACAAACATACATCCAAATTATTATCCAAACGGCTTGAATGTGATATTTCTAAATAAATTACTAATACACGAAGAGAAATATTGCTGAGTAGCGGATAAAATCAAACGAACACACAGATTGAGTTAAAACGGATCGATAATTTACACACTGTAGTAAAAGAGGATGGACATCCTGCTTAAAGAGAAATTTGTAAAGACGAAGAGGACCAAGTTCTGTATATGACAAAGTAACTAAATTATGATATTCTAGTAAAAATCAGTTAAATCTGGCTAAAAACTAGCTAAATTGGCCACTCTGGCTGTGCCCAATCTTAATGTTTGGATGACGACGACACACAATCACAGTTGTCCAGGTTTGGCGGTGTCCGAGTTCTCATTGGAGTTTAGAATCGACATCACTGACTGCAATAGGAACGTTCTCATAAACG